CCACCATTACACATCACTAACTTTGTGTCTCCTCTCTCCCGTAGTGTGTCCTCTCTCTCTCCCTGTACCTCTCTGCAGGTTGCCCTGGCCCTGGAGCTCTACATCTCTGACGAGCAGTCACCAGCCACATTGACCTGATCAGTGTTTGATTGTTGTGTCTTGTTGCTTTTCTTCTTTTCTCTCTCCTCTATCCACTCACCCCAACCGGTCGAGGCAGAAGGCCGCCCACCAAGAGCCGGGGTCTGTCAGAGGTTTCTTCCGTTAAAAGGAGTTTTTCCTCCCCACTGTCGCCAAGTGCTTGCTCAAGGGGGATTTGTTGGGTTTTCCGTATGTAATAATATTGATAACAGTAAGGTCTAGACCTGACTTTGTAAAGTGTCCTGAGATTACTTTTGTTGTGATTTGGCGCTATACAAATAAAATTTGATTCGATTTGATTTGATTTAATAAATGAAAAGCCTATTGAAAGATTGACACAGACTACAACATGTGTACCTGTGAATGCATAAGACCCTAGGAAGTGTATGTGTGACCCTATAAACCTAAAACATCTGAAAGCTATTTGTACAAATTAGAAACTTGTAAGCCTTCAGTTTAGAAGATGAAACTCAAAACTAGAGGTAGAAAATGACCAGCAGACAGTTACACTATCAAAAGCTATTTGTTTTGTTTATTAGCAGGTACATTTTTTAGGATTTAGGCTTTTAGCTAGTGTTTATGCTCAGGCCAACAGATGTTTTTAGTTTTACAGATCCCTGTATGGATCTTACAAATGTGGGTTTAGATTCTGAAAAATAACAATTAGCCTGGTCCGGGAGAGGGTTCACACCCAAGGCAAATTTGATGGTATAGCTGTAGTGTGCAGGCTTTAATTTCTTTTTATTAGACTCAAAATGTTCACTCGTCACACTGTGGGTTCTCAACATCCTTATGTTGACACACAAGTCACCAAAACATTTTAGAGTAATGACTTAGGGAGAGAGGGTTGGGCAGGTAGTGACTATGGTAATGGTTAGATTAGGTCTACAGGAAATGAACTGGTCGATGTAATGTCCCCTGAAGTTATGTAAACACAATGTGTGTGTACGTGTACTAGAGTGAAAACGAAAAGGGACTGAGACAGCGTGCATGCATGTTCATACTGTTCACACACTGTAGATGCAGGGAGTGTGCATAGGTTGAGCGTTTTTTTTTTTGTCCCCCCCCCCAACCGTCTATGCATCTTTCTATATATCTGGCAATACTCAGTTATATTTATCTATGAAGCCAAATGAATCAGGTCAGCTGGTTAAACTTCAAGCATGACTTAAAGACATATTATATTAAAATTCACAGCAGCATCACATGACATTTATTCAATACATGTCCCCAGAGTGAATAATTCTGAACCTAATGTTTTCTCAGTGCAGATTTATAGAAGCAACTATTAATAATGTGGAGCAGCTCTGATGTCTTGGTATGTTTGGTTTTGATTTATCCATGCCTCTAACCTGATGGATTAATTAGTTTCATTTATTAGGTCACCATTGTAAATGTCTGTTTCTTTGTTCAAAATTCTTTTGAGATTATTTTCCTTCAGCATAGGGCTTGCTTGCTTTCCTGAATTTGGAGTGAATGTGGATAATGGGCAAATAACTGACCAAACAACAAAAACACTGATCACTGCTGTAGTGGTTTTGCAGGGCTGTCATCATATGTAACTTTTATACCTGGACACTACATTAAACCTGTGGCACTGGTTACTCATTTGTGCTCCATCTTACAACCATGACTTCAAATAAAATCTATTGTAAACTGTAGGTCCTTGTTTTTTACTACACAGAATAAGATAATGCTCAGCTCCAAAAAGTCTTGAATGCACAGACTCACCCTCAGTTTTAATCTTGAGAGCAGTGCGGACCAGAGCAAACAAAGTGGCATTGAACATGACTGTGCCGTCACTGTTCAGGGGCATGTTCATCGCCACAAGACGCTGCAACAGAATTCAAAGCACAGATTAACAAGAAAGGACCAAATATAAAAAAAGTTCAAAAGCCTTGTATACCATATATTTTTGTCACACAACATTCAATACAGCAGTGGGCATCATGCAGCTTCACAGGTGAGTGTGTGTTGCTGAGTTGTGGAAACAGACCTTGCAGGCTACTCTGTGAGGGCAGAGTTTGCCGAAGCCCAGCGGAGGCTGGATCCTCCGCAGCAGCGTCACCACATCAAGATGCTTTATCCTACCCCTGAAAACAAGGTACATTCAGATAAAAGGCACTGCGCCACTGAGCACAGCTTTCACTAATAAATAAATAACTGAACCCCCCCAGTGACATACATCTATGTCTGACAGCTCTTTGCAGAATGGTCTCCAAGTACTCACTTGGCTTCAGGGTCATATTCAGACCAGATCCTTTTAAACTCATCCAGGTGATGCGGCCCCAGAATGGACCAATCACGGGTCAGATAGTCAAAGTTGTCCATGATGACAGCTACAAACAGGTTGATGATCTGAAACCACAATATGCTTAATTGTTTACAGGAATGTGAAAGCTCAAGTCTGCGCTCAGAAATTACTGGCACTGAACACAGTGAAATATCTGAAGATTACCAGAAAAGCACAGAGCATGTAGAAGCTGATGAAATAAATAATAGTGAAACTGCTGCCACAGGTTCTCTCATCTCCAGGATTGTAGTCAGACTCTGAATCACACAGCTTCCCTGGCAGACAGGCCAGCATGATCTCCTGCCAGGCCTCACCTGTGGCACACCTAACAGGAAGCATTAATATATCAGCAGAGTTAGGTTTTTTTTCCAGCTGTGTGATGATTTAACAATTTACTGTAAGCTACACAAATACAAATACCTGAAGAGCATCAGGATAGCTTGAGGAAAGGTTTGAAAGTTATTGTTGCGGTTGATTTGTGTTCCATCCACCATGGCTATTTTCCCAAACACCTACAATCAAACAAAGAGATCATCAAAAAAAATCTGCCAATTCCAGAAAAGACAGTTAAAACAGTCCCTGAAGGCACCATGTGTATCCTGAAGGGTGATTTGGATTTTCAAATAATTTTACCTGCATTCCAATAACAGCATATATGAAGAACAGCATGGCTATCAGGAGCGCCACATAGGGAAGAGCCTGCGTTTGGTAAAAAAAAAAACAGAGTCATGAATTTGAGCGAGGCAAACTACCAAACCACGATTAAAGCATAACATTGATTACAAAATGGTTAAATGTTGGTGTTCTATGAAGTTTTTGATTACATTCTGACTGATATTAACACTGTATCACTCCTGTGCATCAATGCTGCTTTGGGTGTTGATGCAGAGGGCCCTGGATGCATCATTCAAACTGAATTTCCATGTTTATGTTTTCACCTTTTAACACATACTAGCACACACCAGTACTGCAGTACTCGAGCCCAGGCCTCAGACTCAAGTCTGACTCGAGAACTTGTGACTCTGACTTGGATTTGATCACTCCGAAGTTGGCGTGAGGACTCTGACTTTTTATTTTTATAATAATTCAGAATATCAAAAAATAACACTATTCACTTCTAAGTAGTGTGTGTGTGTACACATTTGTTTGGCTATTGTGTCACATACAATTTTTAAGCATGTTATTTGTACTGAATATACTGTAGACCTTGATGATTCAGACTCAGGTAACAGGGATGCATTAAGACTTGACTCGAACAATTGTTTGGTGACTGACTTGAGGTCTAGTGACTCAACTACAACACTTTTACACGTTTTCTTAATGCTGTGCTATTTTCTTGGATCTTATTTCCTATATTGTCCTCATGACAAACATGCTGACTATTCGATATTCTACATATATGGGAAAAAAGTGACAAATGACATATTATCACAAAATTCTTACTGTGAATTGTGATGATTAGCCATCATCTTCCCTGAAGCTATTTTCTAGGTGATGCCTCCTGCCTTAAATCTAACTTGCAAAGTATCTTCTTAGTTTGTATTATTGCAGAATCAAGAAGGATATTTATTGGTGTGTTAGTTTATGATTTTCTCACCTGGAAGGACTTGATGAAGGTCCATAAGAGAGTCCTGATGCCCTCCCCCCTGCTCAGCAGTTTGACCAATCGCATCACCCTGAACAGGCGGAAGAAGGTGATGGAGATGCGAGCGCTGTCCTCTGTGTTCTGTGAACCAAGGGAAGAAAATGGTGTAACATCCAAATACAGAGTGAAAAACCTATGCTCCACACGTTAATCACTAAAGTCATTCATTCATCTTTCAGTCATCATGTATGATCATATTAAATAACAAGCATTGTATATGTGGATAAGAGTCACTATGATGAAATCTTTCATTGTGAGATGTGTTCTGCATCTTGGCAATGCCAACAATCAACGTGCATGCAGATTTAATGTGTCTTACACACCATACTATCAACTGACATGGAGGACTCATGCATACAGTACAATTACATCTGTATACCTGATATAGAGAGTAAACAAGCAACATACAGAATTAACAGTCCAAAGACAGACAAACCAAAAAACAAGCTGTAATTGGGTTTTTAACACTTGATACAAACACCAAGATGGAGCTTTTCTAGTGCGGTGTTGTTGCAATTCAAGCACACAAGACCTTGAACATGAAACGTAAACTCAAAGCAGCGCAATGCCTGACTGCAAACACTTGGAAAAGCTATGCTGAAATGAAGAAATGACAGAAGACCATACAGAGTTACTGTTCCCTTGTGTCGTGCCATGCACTGAGACAGGACAAAATGTCAGCTCCAATCACAAACCCTCAGAAACTATTGAATAAATGAAACCTGAAGTTCTAGAAGGAAGCAACTCTGTGTTTTCATTGGGAGTTGACTGACAGAAAGTGACAACAAAAAAAGTTCTGATGCTTTAATTTTTATATGGACACAAAAGAAAGGAGGGGCTTCTTCTTACCCCTGGGTCCACTATCACCTTGACGACAGGAATGGCTGCCGACTTGAAACCAAAAGCCTAAGGTTAATCCAAGTTACACAAACCAGCTGCACAAATGTCATCACATATCATGATTACCTTAGACTGTAATCATATAACAAAACGCTCTGAAGCATCGTCACTTAGACACCACAAACATCGTCATTGTATAATGTGTCATGCCAAAGCTTTGCCACATGTTCTCAGGAGTAACACAAGACATGAGATGCAAGTTTTAGTAGTGAAGAAAATGAACTATACTTCTGTATTAAAACATTAGTTTAACTATTAACACTGACAATAAGGAGAAAGCACTGATTCTATATATTTAGTTCTTCCCTTACTATTGTCTACATGCAGACAGACTTTGATCAATAAAGGAATAGAGTGTGTGCTTTCATTCAAAGAAAGTGTCTGACAGGACAAACAAGCATCCTCACATGGACCAGCCTACAAAAATCATGGAGTCAGTGTTTCCACCAGCTGCAAACCAGGACATTGAGTGGCCTTGCTGCAGCAGCGCTGCAGATTCAAAGAGGTTACAATCAAAACAGTTTGGCACAAAAAGGCTAAATCCAAAATTTCAAAGCAATAACTGGGCTACATTAAAAAAAAAAAAAAACAACAACTCCTAATAACATTTTAGACATACAGCTATAACACTACATTTTCTGTATACTCACAACCTGTAGTTTTGGTTTGCATCAGAGTGACAAATTACAGCACCACAAATGGTCTCCAGTCACCTGTTTCCTGCAGTAATATGGCGCCATGCCTCTCGTAACCAACAAATAAAACTATTGCACTTGAACATAAGTTGGAAAGCTAGTGTCAAATCACATAGATTAAACAATGTTCTCACAATTTTATTGCTTTAGAAAACTGTGTTTTTATGCCAAATTTAATTTGGATATGAAAAAGTTTGAAAATATGATCTTGAATGCAACTCTGAAGCTAGAGCAAGGCCCTCACGCTGGGAGTGTCACAGTAAGACAGGCGTGTAATGTGTGATAACTGACTACTTACATTGATCTCAGTGATGGCAATGTCAACCATGCTACCCACAACAATTAAGGCATCAAATGTGTTCCATGCATCAGCAAAATAGTTCTGCAAGCACGAGCAACAAAGACACAGAAAAGAAGAAAGAGAGACACAACAGAGCAAGAAAGAAAAGGAAGAGGTGAAAAGAAAAGATTTGTGAAAGATAGAAAAAGGAGAACATTTAAATGTGATTTGCTATAACAGAGTGAGACTGAAGGTCAAATCCTTCCTGCCACTGAGTCTGTGAGAATAGAACTTGTTTAAATATGCACTGGAAATGTTTTTTTGTTTTTTTTTACTCACTGATACAGTAGTAGGCTGAAAGAAATGGCCACCATAGACTTAAATCTAAACAATTAAAAACATATAATTGGTATGAAGAAGTGGCTTAATGTTATACAGTACATACTGTAAGTTGGCATTTCACACTGTTTAGTCCTAGAGGTAGGTACATTTTGGAAATGTTTCCAGCCTATCAGCAGATATTGGATCTATGATACTCATCTACCATCAAGTCCCCAACTGATTCAACAAACTTCATGAGCAGAAATTGGACCAAGCAACTTAAAAACACAAAATTAAGAAAGGAGGTCAATGATGAAGGAAAGATGTGAAGGCTGGAATGGCATGTAGCAGCAGCAGTGGGAGAGCAGCAGGATGGAAGGACAGAGTTGTACATACTGACGTCTCTCTACCTGGCTGAGTATGATGTCGACTACACTGCCAATCACCACCAGAGCATCGAAGACGTTCCAGGCGTCCCCGACATAGCCCTGAATATGGCAGCGTGCACAGCCAGGAGGAGGAGAGGGAAGGCAGGAGAAGAGGAGGGGGTGCAGGAAAGTGTAAGTGGTAGGGAGGTTACAGTGGTGGGAGTAATGAAGGGTAAAAAGCCCAAGAGTGAGAGGCATCAGGGGAAACCAGAGGGGAAGTAAGAGGGACAGGACTGTGTTAGAAGGAAAAAGGGAGTGTAACACATATAAACACTCAAATGTGATTTTTTTTTTAGATATCTACAAGTCTAAATCTCTGAATAAGAGAACCATTGATAGTTGTGATTAATGTTGCAAATACTGAAGTATCTGCAATTTTCCACAAACAAAATCTTATGAGAGGAGAGGAGACTTACTCTGGGTTTGAAGGCGACGAGCTTGAGGACCATCTCTACAGTAAAAACCCCGGTGAAGACCATGTTGAGGATGTCCATGGCATAGTTAAACAGATGAGACTGACCATGGTGCTGGAAAGACACAGACAGGCTGATCATAAACATAAAACAAAACAAATCTAATACTACACGTATTCTAAGTCTATTTCTTTATGTACTGTATACACTATATGACAAGCAGAGCATGAATCTTCTTAAACTCAGTTTTCCCCATTTTTGTTATTGCAGCAGGAAACCCAGCTCTGGGCTGCCATACATCTTCTACACTATGAGCACTACATGCAGATTAGATTGTTTGTGTGACATGGTGGATATAGTTTGATGGTTGCTGAAGTTTGATAACATCTAATTTTTATCAATTTTTCCTAAAGTACTGAATGAAGAGTGCTTACCTGAATAGCCAGACACAGGGTATTGAGGATGATTAGGACAAACATGACGTACTCAAATCCTGTAGAGTTGACCACATACCAGAACTTGTACTGGTAGGGGTTTTTGGGGATGTATCGCCTTAAAGGACGAGCCTTAAGAGCATATTCCACACACTGACGCTACGGTTGTCATGAGGGGGGGCAAACAGAGAAACAGACTCGTGAACAACTGCAATGTGTCATTTTATTTAAAAATGAAACCACTGTTTAGATAAATCAGTAGGATATAGCACATCATTCCTTCATGTGAATGAATTCTGTGCACAAAAAGTCAAAGAGCGTCCTACCTGGTTCTTGTCCAGCTCACAGTTCTTGTATTCTTTCTCCCCCTGCTCCTGGAAAGTGACAATAACAAAACCAACAAAGATGTTCATCATAAAGAAGGCGATGATGATGATGTAGATGATGAAGAAGATGGAGATCTCGATACGGTAGTTGTAGATGGGACCCATGTTCTCTCTGTTGGAGTCAATGGCCTTGTACAGCAGACTGCAGGGACAAACAAAACACGGGGGAAGTCAAGATTATGATCAGTAATGATTCATATCAACTCTACTGTAACTCTACTAAAAGCCACAGAGGTTTTGTTTACCTAGTAATAATAACTTCACCTTAAGCCTTACACACATTAATGCATGGCCACATACTCATTCATACATCTACAATAGTCAAATTAAAGACAACAGACTGGAAGAGGTGAAGCTGACATCTCTTTACTTTTGGTTACTGAAAATTGTGACAACAAACATTTTCATTCAGACAGACATAAAAGGTGAGTAATTAACAAACATTAAATAAATCTAGTCTTGCTCTTATCCTCCATAATGATATTAACATTTGAATTCTACCTCAGATTCAGAAGGGTACGTACGTGGGCCATCCTTCGAAGGTGGACACGGTAAAGAGCGCCATCATGGCCATGAGGACATTGTCAAAGTTGAAGTCGCTGTTGTACCAGATCCTCTCCTTCACCATGGGCAGCACCGTGTCCCCATTGTTGTAGTGAATGTATGTACCTCTGTGATTTAACAATGAAATGTTAACCACAAGCAAAGACAAGAAAAAAAAAACCTCAGGCAAATATCCAAAGCTGAAAGCCTGGAAGAATCAAACAAACTCACTTGCATTCCAGTGGGCTAGACTTTGCGTCATCTGTACATCGATAAAACTTCCCCTTTGTTCAAAAGACAACAAAGAAAATCAGAGGTTTACTTAGGTTAAATACAACTATGTGTCGTTATACAGTAGAAGAACAGTATATCTGGTGAGCAAAAATACAGGCAGGTTAACCATCAGTTGTGGCCCCTCTGCTCTTTCCTTTGTTCCATGTATTCACCTTAAACAGCTGCACTCCAATACAAGCAAACATGAACTGCAGCAGGGTGGTGACGATCATGATGTTGCCGATGGTCCTGATGGCCACAAACACACACTGTACCACATGCTGGAAAGGACAGTTATTTAATGTTAGGGGGAATACACAGCATTGGATCACAAGCAAAGGCATGCGCACACGCGTACGTGAGGACATATTCTCACAGTGAAGTAGACACACACACACACAGTGCACCATGCTCTTTTATTGTAACTCTGACCTTGAGTCCTTTGGCTCTGTTGATGGCCCTGAGTGGACGGAGGACTCTTAAAACACGAAGAATCTTTACCACTGATATAGCGGAGGACCTAGGGAAGACAGAAAAATGCATTAGTGGAATTCAGCTGGGCAACTGTGAGGGTATGTTGTCACTGAAGTATTAGAGTTAACAGAATAATAAACCTTAGAATAATTATATACAAGGTTATTCTATCATTTATTCATTACCTGTCAGATAAATAATGAGTATTTGGCAAGTAACCATGTGAGTGTAATTAAACTAAAACACCTGCCACAAACAGCAAACTTCATACATTATGGGCAAAATTAGAACAACTGCACAGTGAAGAAGTTCAACCAAAGCAAAAAACTTGCACTGAGTGTTTAACTGATACGTACTGAATGCCAAAGGACACCAGAGACACACCGACGACCAGCAGGTCTAATAGGTTGAAGTAATTTCTACAAAAAGCCCCTTTATGAAGGAACGCTCCAAATGCTGTCATCTGGACAGAGGAGAGACAAAAGTCACGACTTGGAGACAGATCCATCATCAAGCACACACACACACACACACATGTACTGGTGCAGTATTCATTTTCATTTTGCATGTACCAAAAAAGTTCATTTTTGTACTTTCATTTTGTACTGTATATCCCCAGTTAATTTTACATTTCAAACAATATTGTTCATGACAGCACTGCACAAGGTAAGTTGATTTGCAGTCTGAGTTGATAGTTGAAACTAAGCTGTAAAGTTGACTGTGTTACTTGGAGCACTCACACCTTCTGAAAAGCTCTGAGACAAACTGATTTACACATTATTATTATTATTACTACAAGTTCAATATTGTGTAAGCAACAACAGTTTCAAGCATTATTTCCACTATGTTCAGTTCAATATTTGAGGAACTGACAAAATAAAACAAACTGACAAGGTAATGCTGGGCTCACACACAACGCAACACAGAAAACACATTTTTAAAATACAGTAGTCAAAGACATGTACATGCAGTATATCCCCACACACACACTCACAAATATAATATAAGCACTACGCTCATTTCCAATGTACCCAGGGGCTGTACTGGCTATAAATAGTTTCCAGTTTTTTCAGTTTCAAAAAAAATGATAATATTTGATGAAAGGTTTCAAAATACCACCAGAGTCATAGTGCCAATAAAGTCGACACAGAACAGTCAAATGAGTAGCTGTACTCTGGAGAGTCCCTAGTCCACAAACTGGTCGAGGACAACGAGGGAAAGTGGGCCATGACAGAAAAGTGATAATGTGACAGAAAAAAAAACATATGGTGTCCACGTTGACGGATTGGCGCCATGACACCAAAACAATCAGGCGGCCATTTTGAACAAAACTTTAAGAGACAAAAACAAGGGGATGGAGGAAGTGTGCAGCAAGCTTGGAAGTGATGGGTTGTTGCTGAGGCAGTTTAACAGTTTTTATTGTTTACCTTAATAAGGATCTCAAATGTAAACATACTAGTGAAGACATAGTCTGCATAGCCTAGGATCTGAGGAGGCAATCAGAGTGACATAAGCACGCAGGTTATTGAAGCTCTACCCAGCACAGCACAACACGTCACGCAAAGGACATTTACCTTCAACAGGATCTCAACAGTAAAGATTGCGGTGAAAGCATAGTCAAAATAACCAAGTATCTGCAAGAAGCAATGCACAAGTTTGAGTCATTCCAGGATAACAGAACAGTGAATGATGAAACATAAAATAAATCCTAGAATATCACAGCTGCACTAGGCAATATAGTCATGTGAAAATAGTGTAACTCATACGTTGGCTCTGCCCCCACAGACTGAGACATCAGAGATTTAGCCCTACTGACCAATCCAAATTCTCAAGTTTGTTAACAATAGTGGCAGGTCGCCTCTGAGCACAGAATGTGTGAATTATAGTGTTATATAGCAAAAATGTATTCCACAGAAAACTACAGTAGACTCACCAAAGCTACATCATGTGCCTACATTTAGTCTCACCAATGTTGTAAACATGGGTATTCTGCAGGTGTTTTTTGCTCTAACCCACAGCAAGATAAGGTTGGTGAGGTTAATGAGGTGTTGGAGTTGTGCTACTCAACAATAACAGCTTTTTGTCTTCAGCTCACTTTGTTTCTGTTTGTATTATTCCTCCCTGCTATATTAAAGACGGATCCACTGAGCAACCAGTGGATCAGCTGAGCATGCCCATATCTGGTTGATTAGACCCGTTTTTCTTGAATAACAGCCCAGCTAATAAACCTCCACTAAAACACATCACAGTTCCTGGAGCTTCACAAAACAAGCTTCCCGCCGGTTTGCCCATGGAAAGCCTTTAATATGAAGCAGTAACAGCAGTAAAGACTCTCAAGAACACACAGTGCCACCTCTCATGTGAAAATTTCGTAGTCACCACACTGCATAATTTCGGAATGATGAATTCCTTATATTTCAAGCTAATGTTTTCTGCCAACATTTAAAATTGCCTAGTGCAGCTTGTTTACAGCTACACATCAAAATAAATCATTAAAATAACAATGGTAAGGTGATATAATATGAAATAGAATACAGTAACAGTTGTAGAAACAGCCAATCTTTGGATGCCGTAGTGGCAGAGAGATAATTTGGCATGAAGGAGAGCAAAAACTGTTGGTTACGCACAGTTAAATAGAAAAAGGACAGGGAACAATAAACTTGTAGCAGCTAAATGGAATTCATCCATTATTAATATTACTGTTTACACCTATGCCTTTCTTACTGTGACATGTCAAAGTGTCTTCTGTGAAAAGATCAGTTGTCAACTACAGTGAGACAAATAATCCCTCCAAATATGATGTGTAAAAAGACTATGGTGGTGTTTTAGGATGATTAAGACTGGATTTCCAGCAGTGGTATACGTACAATATTGCGAGCGGAGAAGTTGCGTATGGGGTCCTCAGCAGCCAGAGAGACAGAGCTGAGCATGATGAAGACCAGGATGAGGTTGGTAAAGATCTGATGGTTGATCAGCTTATGGCAGAATACACGAAACCTACAGAGACACAAAATAAAAGAGGATAACACAGAGGACGAGTGAAACATTGAGTCTGGTTTTGTGACACAGCTTTAATTTTAGCCTTTTGCAGCAGATTTTTGTTTTCCATTACACCGAATCCATTGACTGGTATGTTGCTGTGCATCGGTGTTAATATCACCAAAGCTGTACGAGACTCACGGGTTAGTGCTGCTGAAGATAAAGAAGGCGCTGCCCTCTGGGATGGGTGGAGTCTTTTCTTTAATGGCAAGCTCAGCCAGCCTTTTGGGGCGAATACCAGGAGGGACTTCTGGGAAGTCGTCATTATCAGAATCATCATCACACACTAGAAAACAAGAGTTAAAACAATCCTTTTGATGTATTTGTAGTTATATTGCTGACGTTTATAACAGCTGGTAAAATTTAGACTGTGCCAAACAAATAGCATTTTTTTCAAATCAGGTTTGGGTCACTTCTGTATGTCACCCTAGTTTCAATTCATATGCAGCCACTGTCACAGTGATCGGATCAGAATTCCTAAGGCTTTTTTTAACATCTCTGTACTGCCTGTTGTCATCATTCAGTGTCAGCCCTTCACAAATCCTTAAAAATAAACATGGAGGACAGCAACAACAGCGATGAGGCACAAGAAAGTTTCATATTTGAGGAAAAGCATCTATTCAAGCAAAACTAAAAGGAACCTATTGTTACCATATAGTTTTTGAGGAAATTGTGCGATTTGGCTGTCACACAAATTTGGTTCTTGTTATTTTTGTTATGCATAGAGCTCACATTTCAGTTAATTTGTGCATGCGTGGCAATTCAGGACATCAACGGTGTTCAGATCACAACTGGATACATGTCACAAACATACAGTAAATGTGAACCAACACAAAAATATCATATCTGACAAAAAACACTGAAACTGAGCATTAAGGTCTGTAATGTGAACATAGCCTGAGTTATTTGTTTGGTGATATACTCGGTGAATTGTAAAAAATACATTTGAAATTGCAAGATTACTTAAATCCATAAAATAAAGAATTATTGGGTGATCCAGACAGCTGAGTGCTTTCGGTGGGTGCCTGTGTACACATGGACCTAGTATGTGTTACGATTTGAGTCAAGTCATGGACCTTTGTGGCAGGTCTCTCCCTTCTGTCTCTCACCCTGCTTTCTATCAGTTTCTACTGTGTTCAGTCAACTAAAGGCTAAGAAGCCCATTGCTGCACATGCATCTCACCAAGTCTCAGATGTTACAAAACTATAAAACTGCATAAAGTAATCAATGATTTGTGAACCCCAACTTGCGCACTGCTCAGTTAAAGCTCCTCTTTGTCAAGACAGGTAACTTTTACCTGGAGAGTCAATGGCAGGATACAACTCTTTGCTTTCTTCTAGCAGGACCTCTGCTGGCACCTGTACACAGTGGTGAGGTTTAGCACTCTTAAATGAACAATTACTGACAGGCAAATTAACTCATCGGTGCACTTTAAGACAGCTGTTCACAATTTCATACTGTAATTTATACATACAATCAGTTTACATGAATTATAAAGCGAACTAGAGTTATTGTCTTTTACCTTGCTCTCACCATCCATGGCTTTTGTTATTTCAGCTCTCTTCTCTCTGTCTGTGCTTGCATCCCTGATCAGGGCAGAGAAAATAGAGGAAATAACAAACAAGGCAGAAGGCTGTTTTTTTTTCAGCCAATAGAAAGTGCTTGTGACAAATGTACACAAAAAAACACAAACACAAAATGTGAACAAAAAAATTTAAATGTGAAATATTGTGTCCTGAGCTGTACTTTGCACTGTTCTTCCTCTTTTTGGCCTCCTCTTCTTCCTTCTGTGCTGTGTTAAGGCTCTCTGCATCTGCCAAATTGTCTACAGCGATGGCCAAGAAGACATTTAACAAGATGTCTGGTCACGTGACTTAAGTTGAAAACATGATAAAATCTGTTAATTAAAAACCCACTGGGGCTGTGGGAATATTGGACATCAATGAGCACAATATTAAAACACAACTTTTTCACACAGGCAAGCATGAAAATTTTTGTTTGTATGCTTCTTTAAGCATGACATATACAAAGTGTATGAGCACATGTGAATGTTTGTGTCCAGTAGGATACAGTTTCCACAGATGAAGAGGATGATGAAGTAAATGCAGACAACCATTCCGGAGGAGGCAGGACCCCCGTACGCCATGATACCGTCGTACATCACTGTGTTCCAGTCTTCTCCTGTCAAGATCTGGAAAGTACAATAAAGAGCCATTTCAATTATTTATTCTATGAATGATTTGAAGAACAGTTAGTTCTATGGAGAATTTAG